CGTGCGGCGTCACTGCTATCCAAGTCACAGCGTGCGGCGTCACTGCTGTCCAAGTCGCGGCGTGCGGCGTCACTGCTTTCCAAGTCACAGCGTGCGGCGTCACTGCTTTCCAAGTCACAGCGTGCGGCGTCACTGCTTTCCAAGTCACAGCGTGCGGCGTCACTGCTTTCCAAGTCACAGCGTGCGGCGTCACTGCTTTCCAAGTCACAGCGTGCGGCGTCACTGCTGTCCAAGTCACAGCGTGCGGCGTCACTGCTTTCCAAGTCACAGCGTGCGGGGCCACTACTGCTTGTGTCACAGCAGTAGGTCACTGCGAAGCACGTCATTGCGAGCGGGTGTCACTGCTGCTTAGGTCACACCTCACTGCTGCTACTACTAACAATTCACACGTGTGAAGTCTATTTCCACTAGCTGTCACCGCATCTCATCACTCCTTTCTATGCCATGCTCACTCCTGCCCATGTCACAGCATCATGTCCCTGAGGCTCATATCAACGCATGTAGTATTTACCACTGGCGTCACAACATGAGTTGATATTGCTGCCATGTCAAAGCATAAGGTCAATGGTTGGCACCTGTCATGCTATCTCATCAAGGCTTTCTAATCCTTGAGCATGTGCTCTCTCCGGCTCTTGTCACAGCTTCAAATAACTGCTGCGCATGTCACAGCTTCATATAACTGCTGCTGGTGTCACATGATATAGGGTCTGCTGCTGGCGTCACAGCAGTGGGCCACGCCATGTCACAGCATAATGTCTCAGCTCTTGATGCTCAACTCACAGCATATGTCCGCCAACTACACGCATCATAGCGTGCAGTGTCACTTCTGCAAATGTCACAGCATGGCAGGGTTGCTGCTGCTCATGTCAAAGCATGTAGTGTCTGCGAGGGGCGTCACAACATGAACCGACATTGCTGCCACGTCACAGCATAGGGTCACAGCTATGCAGTTCATAGCACCATACCACTGCTCTGTTATATCACAGCATGTGCTCACTCTTACTCATGTCACAGCTTCACATCACTCTACTCATGTCACAGTATGAAGTGCCTGCTGCTGGCGTCAATGAAATTAGGCAACAAAGCTGCTGTCTCACAACATAAGATCAATTGGCGCTGTCCCTAGCATCATATAACTGCTTACTCTTGTCACCACAAGTGCGCACTCCTCCTCGTGTCACAGCAGAGCATATCACGTGTCATGTAGTGTCTACTGCTGGCGTCGCAACGTGACACATAATGTCTATGCTGTTTATGTCACACTATCTCATCGCTGGATATTTTGTTTGACCATGTTCGCATTCCTGCACGAGTCACGACATCATATAACTGCTGCTCATGTCAAAGCATGCAAGGTCTATTGGCGGCGTCACAACATGAGCCGACACTGCTGCCATATCAAAGCATAATGTCACTGTTGTTTCCTTTGTTTTTTCTATTTCAACAACGTATACTGCTCGTGTCACAGCATCATATAGCTGCTGCTGGTGTCACAGCATCATATAGCTGCTGCTCATGTCACAGCATCATATAGCTGCTGCTCATGTCACAGCATCATATAGCTGCTGCTCATGTCACAGCATCATATAGCTGCTGCTGGTGTCACAGCATCATATAGCTGCTGCTGGTGTCACAGCATCATATAGCTGCTGCTCATGTCACAGCATCATATAGCTGCTGCTCATGTCACAGCAGGAGACTGCTGCTGGTGTCACATGATGTAGGTTATTCTGCTTGGGTCATAGCATGAGGCTACACTGTTGCCACGTCACAACATATGTCTCTTCTGCTTATGCCACAACATCGGATTACTGCTCTAGGCTCTCTCCTGCTCATGTCACAGCATCACACCACTGCTGTCCATGTCACATTACGTGCTCACTGCCACTCGTGTCGTCACCATGTGCTCCTTGCTGCTTTTGTCACAGCTTGTGGTTCTGCCATTGATGTCTCAGCAATAGCATGCAGATGCTCGTTTCAAAGTGTGTGGCCACTGCTCCGCATATCACAGCATGTGCCCACTTCTTCTCTGTATCCCGCTGTTGCCCATAATGACATTGCCTCCCATCATGGTGGTGCAGTTTGCTACTCATGGCTCCAGCGACAAGTGCAGGGTTACATGCGGCAACGCAAGCATGCAAAGATGCAACGACGGGAAGCGTGAACATATCGCGGCACATGCGACCGTTACTGTGCGTGTTACGCTTTGGGTTGCCCGCCTTGTTTGCTGGCGAGAGGGGGGCGACGCCCGACGACGTGATACACTTCTTAGCGGAGGCAGCACCTGAGGCTACGTCACGGCTCATCAGGGCTGGCCTAGCCGCCGGTGAGTTGGGTTATTGATGGAATGTCACATGCATGCGAGGAACTAGCGCACAGTTAGAGGCTTATGAAGTGTCCGCAGTTGGGGTCTTGAAAAGTGTGGGCGCATTCTTTGCGCGCGCGCCTTGGTCCACGCGCGTGCCTTGGTCCGCGCGCCCTGGTCCACACGCGCGCCCTGGTGCGCGCGCGCGCCCCTGTGTTGACGCCTGCCCTGCATTCTCTGCCTTACCTCCCACTCCCCATCCCCACCCCCCACTTTCTCCCAACCTCCACACCCCCCCTCCAGCGACCCACCATAGCTCTGGTGATGGGACCAGCGGGCCTCATCAGCCGCCTGCTCGACTCCAGGCCTGCGTTGCCTGCCCCACTCTCCCTCTCTTCCAACTCTCCTCCCCCCAGTGCTCCACGATAACGCTGGTGATGGGTCCCAAGGGTCTCATCAGCCGTCTCTTCGCGCTTAATCTTAACAACGCCTGCCTTGCAATTCTTCTCGTACTCCCTCTTTCCCCCCCCCAACCCCCACTCCCGTGACCCTCACACATTCCCTCACCTAAGCACCCGACCATAGCGCTGGTCATAGGACCCAAGGGCCTCGTTAGCCGTCTCCTCGCACCCATATTCGACCATCCTGTATTCTGAAATCTGCCTTACTCTACCCTCCCCCCTTCCCCCCTTCCCCCCTTCCCCCAACGCTGCACGATAGCGCTGGTCATGGGGCCCAAGGGCCTCATCACCACCAAATGTGATGACTCCGGTTCTGCATTGTCGGCTCGGCTCGCACCCAAATTCAATGACGTCTATCCTGCCCCCCCATTCACCCCAGCGCCCCACCATAGCGTTGGTCAAGGGTCTCAAGGGTCTCAACAGCCCGGTTCCTCACACGCAAATTCAATGACGTCCGTCCTGCATTGTCTGTCTTATTCCCACCTCGCCACACTCCCCATCCCTCATCCCTGCCCCCCCCATTCACCCCAGCGCCCCACCATAGCGTTGGTCATGGGTCTCAAGGGTCTCCACAGCCGCTGATATGGCACCCAAATTCAATGACGTCCGTCCTGCATTGTTTGTCTTATTCCCACCTCGCCACACTCCCCATCCCTCATCCCTGCCTCCCCCATTCACCCCAGCGCCCCACCATAGCGTTGGTCATGGGTCTCAAGGGTCTCAACAGCCGTCTCCTCGCACCCAAATTCAATGACGTCTGTCCTGCATTGTTTGTCTTATTCCCTCCTCACCACGCTCCCCATCCCTCATCGCTGCCCCCCCCATTCACCCCAGCACCCCACCATAGCGCTGGTCATGGGTCTCAAGGGTCTCAACAGCCGCCTCCTCGCACCCAAATTCAATGACGTCTGTCCTGCATTGTTTGTCTTATTCCCACCTCGCCACGCTCCCCATCCCTCATCGCTGCCCCCCCCATTCACCCCAGCACCCCACCATAGCGCTGGTCAAGGGGCCCGAGGGCCTCATCAGCCATCTCCTCGCACCCACAATTTATGACGTTTATTTCAAATTCTGCCTTCACTCCCAACTCCCATCCCTCACAGATGCTGAGTCTGGACGCTCACAGACGGGCGCCACGGTCGAGTTGCACCGCCAAGAGTACCATCGCATTTTCAAGACCCACGCTCAAATGCCCTTCGAGAAGGTCACTGATTTATTACAACGGCCGGATCGGGAGCTGCTTGGTGTGAGATATGCCTTTCCGCTTATGCGGTTAGATGATCGCGGGAGACCAAGGCGTGTGGAGGGCTTGTCTTGGGGAGGAGCAAGACGCGGGAAGGCATTTGCTCTACAACGCCAAGGAGGTAATGCCTTTCAAACATGCTACATAGCCGAATACGGGTGATGCTATCTCATGATGACGTGTCGCCCCAACGCCTACAACCACTTATCATACCACTATTGCTGAAGTGCAGGTAATGCACAGCGCGCTGCTCGTAGCGGCACTACGGACGATGGTGGGGTGGAGAATGCTACGGCTTCGTCTAATCCTTCCGTGCCTCCTTTGCCCGTCGGGGGTGGTGGTGATGGCGAAGGCCCGGTCTCTACTTCTTCCGTGCCTACATTGCCCGTAGGGGGTGGTGGTGATGTTGAAGGCATACCCTCTACTCCTTTCGTGCCTCCTTTGCCTGCGGGGTGTGGACTTCATGCAAGTGGCAGCAGGTCATTGCCTACAGCACCACCGAGCACGATGAATGGCATGCCAGAGGACAGGTGAGCAGTTGATATACTGCATATTTGGAATTCATGTTACAACCTTATAAAATCATCTGGTCCCACCTAGGCTCCTTACACTTCCACGTCAACCATACGCTCATCATTTGTGTCCTTTTTCTATACCCCTCGTAAGGCCTGTTTGCAGCCATCCGCGCGCGAGCGCGCGCGGGACAGTCCCCAAGCATTGGCCTACATCACCAAGCGTTGATGATATCCCTGAGCAACGGGTATGTCTAGTCGAACCACGTACCGTTGTCGGGCTCTTCAAGGGGTGTCGCTTAGTGTGCTCGCATCAAGATACATGCGGAGGTGCTATGTCTCTCAGGTCGTGGAAGTTTTCTTGGGCTTCAGTTGGCATGTTCTGGAGATGCGATAAGTGTTCCCATGGTGTGGAGTTCTGGTCGTGCACCAATCGAACCCTTGACAAGAAGAGAGTTGGGGTTGGTGCACGAGTGCCAATGCTACACTCAAAATATGTGGGAGCATTCGCGCTCGCTGGGATGTGGGAGTTCAGTCGCAATTTTGGCATTCCATGTCCTGGCAAAAGCACGTTCTATCGATACCTTGGGGGCGATAATGGGTTATGGAAAACAATACTTAGGGAGGCGGATAAGTCGATGGCTTCGGTGCGGGAGGAGATGAGCAAACGTGACATCCCAGCCGAATATGTGACGGTGGATGGCCGATGGTCACATGTCCGAGAGGGTGAGTGGTGCACAGTATCGTTCATGGACATACCGTCGCGGAAGATCTTGTACTGTGTAACAACACGTAAAGGGGTGGATGATAAATCGTCGGTGCGATTGGAGCGGGTGGCATTCGACAGAGGGGTTGATGAGTTGAAGCTGTTGGAGTTCGATGTGAAGGGCATCATTTCGGATCAAGGGACCACGTTTAGAGGCGCTGCGGCAGAGCGAAAGCTGGATCATCAGGTGGATTGGTGGCACGTGAAACGGACGCTGTACAATCTTTTCTGCAAGGAGCTTCAGGATCAGGTGCGGAAGGCTGTGGAGGTGGACAAGGCTAGCTGTATCGAGGAGCTATGGTTGGCTAAGGTGGAAGACTTAAGGCAGTGGTTGAGGACCAAAGGATTGGAGAAAGAGGCGAAGGGGACACTCAAAGCATCACTTGTGGAGGCGGTATGTGAAGCCATGGGTACCATTGCATATGTGAAGATGACCCCTGATGAAGCGAAGTGGATGTTTCCTGAGTTGCGAAAAGTCCGGCGGTTGGGAGGAGAACGGGCAGCGGTAGATGTCCCAGTGGGATATGGTGAGGTGCGTCCTGATACTACTGGAGAGATGCAGCCCATCGTGCGAGATGATGCGGTTGACGAGGCGGATGCGGGCACAACCCAAGTTGATGTGCAGTGGGCGGATGTGGAGGAGTTATGGCAATACGATATCCATCCTGTGCGTGGTGCGAGACCATCGTCATTGGCTAGTTCTCTCATCGTGCACGCACATGCGGGTGCATGCAGTAACTTACGATTCATCGGCGGGACGACTCCGTGGGCCAACGTTGATGAAGCTACTGGTATGAACGCTTTGTGAAACTTAGTTTCCATGCCATATTCAGATTGGAGTACGCCGCTTGTTTCCTAAAATTGTTCATACTGCTCGTTTTGACATGACAGAGACGATGACTGGCTGCAACAACGATGGTGTAGCGGGTGAGACCGACAATCAGGGAAGTGACGTCGGAGAGAATTTGCCCCATTGGACTGGGCGGCGAAAACGGAAACGTGGCGGAGATGAGATAAACGCAGGTAATGAGGAGAGTATGGTGGCGCAGCACTTCGCCTCGCATTTCTTCCATGTGATGATGCGTTGCGCGGCGCTGTTGAAAGCGGGCACCCCTATGACCCCCGAAGATGTGGCTAGGGAAATTGGGATGGCACCTAACCACTGGGCAGGTGACCACTTCGAGTGTGGACGGAACGGGAGTATTCCTCCAAGGTGTGTTACCGAGAAGTGGGGCAGGGAATGTGCACTTTATGAGTCTGGATCGGAAACGCACAAGGCGGTTCTTGCATGGTTCAAGAAATGGCTTTCGCCAGACAAGGTGAAACCCTATGTTCACGGAGCCAACAGTTCCATAAACGAGTCTTTCCATTCCCTGATCATCAAATACGCTGCTAAGCGTATCAGGTTCAAAGGTAGTCTTGAGGCACGAGTGGGGCTGGCTGTCCTGCATTGGAATAACTCGATGGACAGGCTGGTCACATCGTATCGCACTCGTGTACGGCAAGTAACTCGGGTGCGACGGGGCAACAAGGATCGAACCCTCGGACCTATGGATTGGTCTTGGGTTGATCGGATTATGGAGGATTGGCAACGATCGCTGGGATTTGGAGTCGACGATGAGATTATGGAGACGGCCCCGAAGAGGCAGGCGCAGCATCCTGTCGACTTACCTTGTGGAGGGCGACACCCATCTGTTGTTGGGCCGGTTACTCCTGTGCGAGAAGGTGGCATAGTCCGCGGCAATACTTCGACGCGCGGTGCTGGGCGCCGTATCTTATTTAAGATCTGTACCACATTCTCACCAACCCTTACTCTTGTCTTATTTAAGATATTTTGACGCTTCCCTCTTGCGATCATGTTGCAGGTGATGCCACCAACCATCCTCGGTAAACATGTTGGAAGCACTTACAAATCAGGGGAAGGATCCAAATCACCAGTTTGTCCAACACGACGCGTCAATTTGGATGTCGGCGATGCCGGTGTGCGCCTTGAGGGTAATAGTGCTCATCCTTGTCCATACAACTGCTGCTCGCACCCATAACATGTGCATCTCTCGCTTTTCCCTCTCTATCTTCCTTTTCAGACCCGGTGTGCCCTCTCCCAGCCTTGCCCCCTGCTCCCATCCTATTCCCTTGCTTGCCCATCTCACGCCCTCGTGCTTCAACTCCCCAGTCTAGTCATTCTAAACCCTCCACCTCAGTCAATCATAGAGCATTATTTTCCCCTCACATTCCAACCTTGCTTTCTCAGCTCCTGGACGTGCATTTGGCGAAGACCACTGGTGTGGAGTTGGTGCCATACGAGTAGAGGGCCATGGTGGTGGCTCCGCGCCTGACCCCAAAGGAGGCCTTGGCGCCCTTAGATGTCAGCCGAGTCGTGGACCCTCCGAGCACAACCTCAACCACCGACAGGTGCGAGTGCCATCAATCATCTGAATCAACGGCACATGTGACAGCGTAAGTCAAGTGCAAACCAGTGATTTATCGTTTACCATCTGGAATCTTTTGTAAACCCTTCGTTCGTCTTTGCCTACTTAGCTTGCATTGTGATACTACCCAATTATCCCCTTTGCAACAAAATTCAGGCTGGTCCTACTCCATCCGATTCCATGCCTTCGCGTTTCTTACCCTTGATGCATACTACAACCACTGATATATCTTTATGTGCTCGTTTCACTATCATGGCACCAATGTTGCCCATGCCTCACACCCCTCCCCACACATGCGTTCAACCAGCCGCATGGACGTTGTTTCAACATCTTTCAAGGTCAGCAGTGGCCCCTTATTGCTCCCAACGTGGTGCTCTCATTATGATTCGTCTCTATTTGCATTACTTTTCCATGCTTTGCTCCACAGTACTGCAGATCCATCGGGTGTCCGGAACATTTATGCCGTTGTTGCGAATTTTCACGGCATACAAGACATTACCACCATACAAATGAGCCTACGTAGCCTAGAGATACTCCTCCTCCTACCTGCATGATTTTGGCAGCAACAGGTTGCACCTTTTGACAAAGCATAATTAGCACGCGTGTGTGTCAAGTGGCTCACGTCACAACAGCAGGCGTATGCATGTATAAAGGATTTTACATTGAATTTTGGAATCCAGATGTATTCGAATGAGCACTTGTCCACCATACATGTTTGCCTCAATGGTCCTGGCTTCAAGAATGGCACAACATAAGCTCTCCTGCAGTAAGAGTGGATGGTGATAAAATTGAGTGTCATCATATGGTGTACGAGCCAACAAGTGGTGTTGTAGGTGGACAACCCCCAGTCTCCATCCACATCAGTGCATTGTCCTCTGTTGAGCGAGGAGGTGCGGTGGCGATGAGAGGACAGGGGGATGAAAGGACAGAGGGATGAGAGGACAGGGGGATGAGAGGATGGGGGGATGATAGGACAGGGGGATGAGAGGATGGGGGGATGATAGGACAGGGGGATGAGAGGACGGGGGGATGAGAGGAGGGGGGGATGAGAGGACAGGGGGATGAGAGGACAGAGGGAGGTGAGGACAGGGGGATGAGAGGACAGGGGGATAGGAGGACGGGGGGAAGAGAAGACGGGGGGGTGAGAGGGCGGGGGGGTGAGAGGAAAGAGGGATGAGAGGACAGGGGGACGAGAGGACAGAGGGATGAAAAGACAGGAGGATAGGAGGACAGGGGGATGAGAGGACAGAGGGATGGGAGGACAGGGGGATGAGAGGATAGGGGGATGAGAGGACAGGGGGATGAGAGGACAGGGGGATGAGAGGACAGGGGGATGAGAGGACAGGGGGATGAGAGGATGGGGGGATGCGGCAGGCTCGGCGGCGGCAGCTGCAGCACCGGCAGCAGCTCCGGCAGTGGCGATGCTGGACACTACGTTCCGAACGGCTGCCGCCGTCACGAGGCGGGTCTGGACGGCAGAGAAGACGGCCAGCAGCAAGCGGACGAAGACGGGCGGGGCAAGGGCACGGAGCTTGAGGGCGAGAGATGGCGCTGGGTGGGGGGTGCATGGGGAGGAGGGGGGCAGAAAGAGGGGAAGGGGGGTTCAGTTGGCATAGGAGGGTGGAAGGACGGTGAGGGTTGACTGGATGTGTTATATGATAGATAGTTGGGGGAAGGCTGCACAGGTGGAAGACAGTGGGTGTGAGACCTCATTCGCATGAAAAGGAGACACAACTAATCAGCAGCAGGCTGATCTAACTTCCCCTCCCCTGTGACAACTGTAAGAAAACGACTCCACTGCTCCCTCACAGCTGCAGCATTTCTCATTGTTCAGGGCAAGGCTCGTCCCCTTCCCATCGTCATTGACAATTCAGAGAAAACATTCAGCCCCTTCCCCTTGTTCCATACCCCACGGCCCGTGTGTCTCACATTCAGCACATCAGCTGCAGGCTCGCTGCTAGCAGTCCCCCTCGTTCCATCCACCACAGCCCACGTGTCTCACCGTTAAGTGCATCTGCTGCAGCCTCACCCCCCTCTCCTCCTGCACCACCCGCGGCCCCACCAGCAGCGGCGGCGGCGTGCTGCAGGAAGAGCAGCAGCAGCAGCTCGCCCACCACTTTTTTCACTGCTGCCTTGATGTCCGCATTCACTGCGTCTCTGTCGGCCCGCAGCACTGCCGGCAGGCGCGACTGGGGGATGAAAGGGTGGAAGATGAAAGGGTGAGAGACGGATGGGGGTTAGGGGGAAGAGCAGCGGCAGCAGCTCGCCCACCACCGTCTTCACTGCTGCCTTGATGTCCGCATTCACTGCATCTCGATACGCGCGCAGCACTGCAGGCAGACGGGACTGGTGGGGGATGAAAGGGTGGGAGACAGTGGGTGAAGGGCCAGGGGGGAACAAGGTGATGGAAGGTCGTCCCAGGCGGCCTATAGCTTCTTCTCGCTGCATCTCAGCACACCCCAAACCTTAAACCTACCCCTTCTCCCCTGAACGCCAACTGTGCTCAGCAGGCTGATGAAGAGTGGCAGTAGGTGCTCTCAGGGTCAAGCCTCCCTCTCGCTCATCCGTTCACTCTGCATGCCCGCTTTTTATGAGAGCCAGTGTTTTAACTTCTAACCCCCAAACTCTAAGTAATACACCCGAACCCCTGACCCCTGCCCCGTACTCACTGTGCGCAGCAGGCTGATGACGAGCGGCAGCAGATGCTCTCTCAGGCGAGCCTCCCTCTCCTCCATGCCCTCGCGCTGCTTGAGCCCGGCATGGGCAGAGCACGGATGTTGCATGGACGGATGGGGCATGGATGGGGCATGGATGGGGCATGGATGGGGCATGGATGGGGCATGGATGGGGCATGGATGGGGCATGGATGGGGCATGGATGGGGCATGGATGGGGCATGGATGGGGCATGGATGGGGCATGGATGGGGCTTGGATGTTGCATGGATGTTGCATTGATGGGGAATGGATGTTGCATGGACGGGGCATGGATGGGGCATGGATGGGGCATGGATGGGGCATGGATGGGGCATGGATGGGGCATGGATGGGGCATGAGTTGGGCATGCAACGGGTTGGGATCCATGCATGCACCAGGGATGCACGTGGCGGGCGAGGCATGCGACAGACATGCATGGGGCGAGACAAGGCATGGATGGAGCAGACACAAAAACACGGAGCGAGAAACGGAGCAAGATACAGAACTGAGGCAGGCAGGAGGCATGGCAGGGAGCACAGGAGGATGAGGAACAAGAAGCAATCACAGACCTGTGCGGCCAGCCAGCTACTGACTGCAACGTCTCACACCTCAACTGCTATGACACAACACAACCACAGGTAGGCCCGGGCGACTGGCTCTGAAGCTCTGAAGCGCGCCATGCCAGTACAGCTCTGAATCTTGTGCGACAGAGATCACGCTTTGCATCCATAGGCATGCATTTTCCGCACACGCACCTCGAGGTTGACTATAGCGAGCAGCGTTTCAGCGGGGGGTACGCTCTTCTGGAGGTTGAAGCTGGTGACTATAGCGGAAGGCGCCACGTCAGCAGCATCGTGCACGGCTTCCCTCACAAAGTCGGCTGTTAGGAGACTGGGAGAATGGCGGGAATGGGTTGGGTTGGAGAGTATAGGGGATGGATGTTAGAAAATTGGAGGAGGAGAGGAGGAGGTGGTTGAGGTGGCGGAAGCAGTGCAGCCCCGCCATGGGGGGGGAGAGTGGGGCGAGATACGAGTGGGGGGGAGGAGTGGGAAGAGAGAGAGAGACCGACCGACCTGTAGACGGCATCGGAGGAGGTGAGGAGGAGGTGGTTGAGGTGGCGGAAGCAGTGCAGAGAGGGATATGAGGGTGGGTGGAAGAGGGGGATGTGAGAGTGGGAGGCGAGAATGGGAGGAGTGGGAGAAAGAGAGACTCACCTGTTGACGGCATCGGAGGAGGACACCAGGAGGTGGTTGAGGTGGCGGAAGCAGTGCTGCCCTGCGAGCTCCTGCCCATCCATGAGGCGCCTTAAGTCGTCCATCACGTCTAGCGCGCCCGCACAGTCGCCCGATGATACCAGCTGATGGACGGTAGGGTGGTGCGTGGGGGGGCAGGAAGGAGTTAGAGGGCAGGGTTGCACCCATGAGCTCCTGCCTCTCCATGAGGCGCCTCAGGTCGTCCATCACGTCTAATGTGCCCGCACAGTCGCCCGACGACACCAGCTGATGCATGGTGGGGTGGTGCGTGTGGGGCAGGAAGGAAGAGTTAGAGGGCGGGGTTGCACCCATCAGCTCCTGGCCGTCCATGAGGCGCCTGAGGTCGTCCATCACGTCTAGCGCACCCGCACAGTCCCCCGATGACACCAGCCGAGGCATCGGCACGCATAGTGGGGTGGTGGGGTGTGGGGCAGCAAGGGAGGCTTAGAGGTCAGGAAGCGA